GGCGGCACCTACTTTGACATCTCCTCGCCGACGACTGGAGTAGAGAGAACCGGCAAGACCATATGGCCATCTTCCCAGATTTCCCACGATGTTCCAACGCCATTTATACCTCCCTTTGATCACACTAAAGGGGCCACTTCCTCGGCTTCGCCCGACATTGCGACGCCAACTTCCTGGATTTTCACGAGACTTTCCTACGCTAGAGCTTCCCGTCGATCCATCTACTCGGCTGCCACACCTCTAATCGGCTTCTGCCGTCGACGACTGTGGCAACGCTTCCTCCGAGTAGAGGACAAAGTCAATGTTGTGAACGTCTAAATTCATGGTGATGCTCATTATTATTCTCGTTACTACCTATCTAGTGACGACGAATGCCAAGGTGTGAGGGGGCACAGAAGGAAAACGAGAGAGAGAAAGAGCATAAGAAAATGAAAGATTAAGCAGCAGAAAGAAACAAACCAGATTCATTGGCTGATTAATGAATGTTCACCCCAATTGCAGAACAATGTAAGGGGAATAAATGCTTGAGCTATAAAAAAGGTTATCTTACGGCGAGGAAGACAACATCGAAAAGAGGGCTTTGTTTCTTTTGTCTTGGCCTATAATCTGCATAGAAATTTGGTTGCTCACAAGTGATAGGATATTGCATTATTACAAAAAAAAAAAAAAATCGTATTGTAGTCTCCTATTGTCCATTATTTTCATAATGTAAGTATAAGATAACTTTGTCCTTTGGGTGACCGTTCGTGAAAGCGGAGATTGTTCGCCGGAAGAGGTACGTAAACCATTTTGTCGGAAGCGATATACTGTTTTGATGAAAGCGGTCTACCTCCTCCAACAAGCGAGTGTAAGTTGAAGATTTATCAATCAGTCAATGAATTTGGTTTGTTTCTTTCTGTACCTTAATCTTTCATTAGGTGGTAAACCATTTTCTTGAAAAGTCTTTAAATGGTCGACCTATTTCATCAAGTGGTCGACCACGTTTCAAGAAAATGGTCTACCCTTTCCACCAAATGATTGACTTGATGAAGCACTTACCTTCAAGTGACCGACGTCTTGCATCATGACGTCGACCTATTCCATCAAGTGGTCGACCACGTTTCAAGAAAATTGTCTACCACATCCACCAAGTGGTCAACCATTTCAGGAAAATGGTCGACCACTTGTAGGTAAGTGTGTTATCAGGTCGACCATTTGGTAGAAGCGGTAGATCATTTTCTTGGAAAATGGTAGACTACTTAACAGAGAAGGTCGACCGTTTTCTCCAAATTACGGTGACTTGCAAGTCACCATAGGCATACCCAACAAACTATAATGCCCAAATTAAACAAATTAGGTAGAAATGGTAGAAAGATGGTCTTTAAGCTAACAAGTTAAAAAACAAACTATCATGCTCAAATTAAACTAACTAGTAAGAATGGTAGGAAGATGGCCTTTACACTAAGAAGAAAGAAAAACGGTTATAAACCAAACTCTACTGCTCAAATTAAACAAACTAGGTAAAAATGGCAGTAAGATAACCTTTTAAACTAACAAGATAGAAGACAAACTATCCTGCTAAAATTAAACAAACTAGGTAGAAAGATGGCTTTTAAGCTAACATGTTAAATAACCAAACTATATTGCTCAAATTAAAGTAACTAGGTAAAAATAGTAGAAAGATGACTTTTAAGCTAAAAACTTAAAAAAGGTAAAAAAATTTTTTGGCTTACTACAAGAATTGAACCCAGACGCTCAGCGGGAGAAGAAACAATACTTTTTACACTAAAAAATCAGCAATTTTAATGTATCAATTCATTGCTTTACAACATAATATTCAATTTATCTGTAATTTTCTAAATAAATATATATATATGATTTTATATAGGATTTCAGAACTCTTGAGTCCCTATCGAGAGACCACCTAGCTCCTCCCCTGCTGTTGTAAAGTAACCATGCAATATCAAATATCTTGTTGACTCCGCATGTTGCTTCCTCGGCTGCATAACATTCTTCATTTGACAACAAATCTTAGCACTGACGATGAAGAAGAGTAAAAAATTGTGCACCACATAATGGTGTCTTCAAGATTTGAAAAAATCAAATATCTTCATTTGAAATAGCAACACTTCTGTATAGAATACCACAACGTCCATTGACTGCGAGGACTGGAATACGACACCTTGGAATACAATTTCTATTTCATAAATGGCCCCTACTGCCACATCACCAACTTTTACAATTTCACCACATACCACTTCCATTCTTTCTACATCAATTACATCCATTTTTTATTTCATATGGTGGGTCCGAAGTGAATTTTTAATACAACTATAATAAAAATATAATATGTTACAACCAACAAAAGACAAAACAAAATGAGAACGGAAAAAAGAATTAAGGGAAATAGCATATAAAACGTGGGCGGGCCGCCCACTTGCCATTTCATTTGGTATTTCCTAAAATGAAAGCTCCCACTGTATGAAATAGGTTCTGCAACCATGAAATAGGAAGATGCAAGTGCCATATCACAATGGAAGAGTTGTATGATAGTCGTTGTGGAAGCTCTCATATCAATAAAAACTAATGGAATTTGACAGAGACTAAAGATGAAACGATTCGTTTGTGGTATTTTATTATAAAAATTCATTTATTAGTTTGTGACTTTCGTTCTCCATTAACAATTTCGTTTGTGGTATTTCAAAGGTCCAAAGCCAGCTAGGGCCCCAACTGGACAATCGTTTCACATTTGAGAATGGGTCTAACAGTTCTCCAACCACGTTGACTTTTGGGCCCAACTACTTGCTACGGAACTTGTATCAGCTCAGCCCAATCCAGGCAAGTCCATTCAACACTCTTTAAAGCAAGGGCCAATACTACAGTGCCGCGGTAAAAAGTGCGGCACCAGTAACGCACTTTTCTATTGGGCCACGTGGAGCTGACGTGGCAGGCTGGTTTCTTTATTTTAAGCCCATGACCCGTCACAACCCAAAAATTTCCAAACCCAAGCTCTACCCAACAGACGGAAACACTGAACAAGCCGTTTTCTATTTGTTTCATTTTCCATGAATTAATTTTAAATTGATTTAATTTTGTAACATTTTAGTTTTATCCTCAAACAAAACAAAAAAAAAAAAGGAAAGAAAATCTCAGGAGCGTCTTCATCGAGCTCTCTGTCCAATCCAAACTGCTCCGACGAGAAGACTGTGAGAATAACAAACTGCTGCAACGAACTCAACAGTCTCCGATCGGAACTCCATACCCTCGAATAAACTCCTTCACCGTATTCCTCCTCCGCCATTCATTGTGTGAAACAAAAATGACGAATCCCTAGTACCGGGAGGCCCTCTATCTCCGTCGAATTGCTCTGCCGACACCTGGAATCCCTCTGGCTCGAAAGAAAAAAAGTCCATCACTCTGCGTCGTCCCCTCGCTTTGCACCCTTCCTGTTGACGAAGTGGAATTCGAAGTTCCGACATTGCCTAACAAATCCTTGAAATTCAATTCGTCTGTTTTTTTTTTTTTAGAATTAGGCCTAGCTTCCTTTTTCCTCTGAGCTGGTATGTCATGGATGTTGCGCCTTGTATACGATTATTTTCCTTTGCGGTGTTGTGTTTACGGAGCATCAAGAAACTGGTTGCTCTGTCCCCGTTCTACTTCTTTGTTCTTTATATTTTGGTTGGTACATAAACAATAGCATAGACTAGCTAAGTCAGCCGAGTGGAAGGCCGATTGCTCTGTCCCTGTTCTACTTCTTTGTTCCTTGTTTTTGGCTGCTCTGTCCCTGATCTCGACTGCACCTCCTCATCCTGATGCTTCTACTCCTTCCATCATATGTGGCTGCAGAGAAGGTAGATGCATAAAGATTTATACAAAATACAAGAAATTGAGTAGCCAACGTCAAATTGCATTATAATAACATCATCAGCTCGTGGAGCTGGCCACTTGAGGAGGCAGCATTTGTTTTCCCATATTCCAGAGTGTTAGTATTGGCTCGATCAGGGTTGTCCTGCTTTGAATTGTTGTCCTCAATTAGATTGCATGAAGTACTAGCTAATAATTAGTTCTGGCTTGCCTTACCTGGAGAATCCGCACCTCAAGGAGCTTTGACTTCAGTTCTTACGATTCAAATAGGGAGGGCGCAGGCCGAGGGGGGATGATGCAGAGGGTGGGAAGTTGCCTTTTCATTTGTCTTTGATCGTTCGATACGGTGGCAACAGAACAGTGCAACAGAACAGTGCAACAGAACAGTGCATTCATCAACTTAAGGTTATTTTACGGTTCAGACTCTTATTTGAATTATAGAATGTGGCTTTTAAAGAAGCTCAAGTGAACACTGTGCATTCATCAGCTTACTTTCACAGATGACCCTGATCTCAGGAACACCTTCTTCTACCAGCTTTGCCAGGTACTAGCGACATATATATTATTGTGTGTGGTTGGGAAAAATTACTGAACTAATGCTGAAGGGTGTTTGTTTGTATTTTCAGCACATGGTAGAGCACTTCATAAACATAGTATTGATGTCATCACCCCAGGAGAAAATTGGATGAAGAGATGAAGCTTCTTAATATCGCGAATATGCAATATAGGATCAACCTTGCTTCTTCTTCCATCATTCAAGGTTAATGCTGCCGGCTCCATAAATGAGAACATTGTTACAATGACTTCGTGGTTTACAAGGGAGCAAAGGCGACTGAATGAACTTCAAGACCTGTTAGGAAGTAGATTCAGTACATACATTGCTGATTGTATCTGCAGCTGCAGAAGCCGTAGCTAGGTAGGAGTATATGCACTGGTGAGTTTTGATTCTTGTTGGCCACCACCTCGTTAAGGGTGTGGCATTCCTCCATGTATCTTGTAAGTTGTAAGCTAATGGGATGCAGTTGGCTGAGTATGTATAAGATTGTGCACGAAATGAAAAATTAGTAGATTGTTATTGTTAAACTGCATTTGGTCAAGATGGTAAAGTGCAGTTGATTACGACATGGTGTTTCCAACCATAGGCAGATTCTATTGGGCAAAATATAAATATATATGGCTATCTCCACTTCCACACTCTTGCTGGTTTTTGCAGCTGCAGATACTTCTCTTCATGTCTACAATAGCCACATGCCACTTACGCCCTGCAGTCGCCATGTATCGACCACTAGGGGTAAAGTTCAGAGTGTAGGGACCAAGATCTGCACACCAAAGTATCGTCAAACCAGATAGTTCTCCAGCAAAAGTTAACAACCAGAAGAGAGGGTACAGAATTGCAGAATTAGTAGTGTTTACATATATAAACTCCAACAATCCACAAACGTTATGCAAGGATTTTTGTCGCCAAACGCCCTATTCATCTTAAGTGCTAATAGGGGAATCCAAGAGGAGTCAACAAAATGACAGCAAGGTGACACTAATACGATAACACAGGCCAGCAAGAGTAACTGGTAATTGCAAACACTGAATGAAGACATAATAATAAAACAACAACAACTAATCATGACCAGAGAAACTTTAATTCATACTGAAATCTACAATGAACTAAGCAGCAGTGAAAGCTACATGGAGAGGCTAACCCGCCACTTTAGGAAAAGAAGAGAAGTAGCAGGAAATATAACAAACCAACTTAACAAATTTTCATTCTCCTTACTAACAAGCTTATTTGCTCTTCACACTAAGAAATATTTACTCAAGATAACCCTGAATCAATATCAGTAATGCAGATAATCACATAAAACCAAACAAGTGACGAGTTCTTAACAAGAACCTGGAGGAGTGGATTGGAGATGGAGGCAGGAAGAGAGAGAGAGAGAGAGTACCAAAGCTTCGAACCGGAGAACATGTGATTGTGTGGGCAAACACACAAAGCCACAACGGCCACCAGCAGCTTGGTCTAAAAAGAACCTGTAGATCACAGAGGTAAGGAGAAAATTGCAGCAAGTTTCTAGACGAAGGTGGAAAAGGAATATTGAGCATATAAATGTTCTATGTGGCAATGCTACTATAAACAAACCGTTCAACACTATATCATATTGATTCCTTGAGCTTAAAATATCAACTTCACGAGTAATCTGATCCTGTTTGATCCACCATGTCTTTTCTATACCTTCAGCCTCCAGATATCCTCCCTCACTTGGCATAAGCCACTGAAAAAAGTAACAACTTAACATGGTTCAAATAGCAGCTGCATTATTCGATCTACCAAATTCACAGCGTTCAGATACATCAAAAACTTATAAGACATGATAAGAAGAGAACAACAGAATATAGCGTGCTTCATCCTAACAAATGCTTTTAGTACTTTGTTTAATCTGAGGTATCGAAGTGAGGATGCAATCATTGCCGCTACCCAAACCTCCAACTTTAGTAAGGAATTCCAACCCCAAAATATCTTGGAACAAAACTGAAAATATGTACTTCATTCCTCCTTTCTTGTAACCAATGCCCCTAGCTCGAAAAAGTTAGAGACTTAGCAGTGACAGATGGGAATGAAATCAAATCAGAATGTTAGACACACAACCATTATATATACTGTTTAAGTTATCCATTAAATTGCAAAAACATTATAGTTAATTAAACCCGCCTAACAGTATGAACTAGCCTAGGTTTTGAGAAAGTCAACAACCAAGTATAGCATTAGCATTTATCATCTCCTTCAAGATTCAGCTCCTGTACAACAACACAAAGGAAAAATATTGAAAAACAAGGCGCAGCATCCCTAACACAACAGTTAAGAGGCAAAAGGATACTAGGCGTCTAGGCCTAATTTTGGACCAAAACGAGACCAATCATTGTCCTAGTTTCTAAGAAAACAAACGAATTTAATTACCAGGACCGTTCAGATTTGTTCTAAACCCGCCGATTGTAGTTATCAACCCAAAACCCACCTTCACAGGAATTGAGCACAGGAGGAAGTGAAGTTAGTACCTAACTGAGAAGGAAGAGAGACCGATGGCGGGAACCGGGAAGAGGAGGCGGGTTCGACTCCTTCGCAGCCGAGAGAGAAACCCGTGAGATCACGAGCAGGAGGCTGGCGATAGGCAATGTCACTAGGAACCAAGGAACTTCGGATTCCGCTTCGTCAACAGGAAGGCTGCAGAGCAAGGGGAGGCTGCAGAGGGAGAGCGATTCGCACTTCCTTTGTCCAGGGATCGTCGGTATCGGCAGAGTTCTTCCATGAAGAGAGAGGGCCGCTCGGGACTTGGGATTCGTGCTATGTTTTCCAAAATAAATGGAGAAGGAATACAGTGAAGAATTTAGCAGGCTATGGAGATGGAATCGGCGAACTGCACACTTCCCCGGGCATTCGCTCGTTTCAGAATCAGACGAGCGAGAGAATGAGGAGAAAATATATATAAAAATAAAACAATCAAACGGCCGGGGGAAGACACCCGTTAGTTTGACGGTAGTTGGTTTGACCACTTCTTGCCCCGTTGTTCGGTCAATATTTGGGCTTGGGTCAATCATATCCAGCCACGCCATGTCAGTTCCACGTGGCCCAATAGAAAATTGCGTCACCGGTGCCGCACTTTTTACCGCGGTACCGTAGTATTGGCCTTATCTGCAAACCAGAGCTAACAATTTCTTCAATTGTTTTGTTTCCTAAGTACCAAAGTTCCTTGCTATGCAAAATGAAATGAGTTTTTGTGAATCATATGCAGGATTGGACATTGGCAACGACACTGATGAGACCATTACGCTTCTTCGATCTACGAGATATCGTGATAACACAAATGAATTATGGTTCAGTGCAAAGGGTGTATATTGTTTCCGAAAAAGATATAGTGCTACCTAAACAACTTCAAGAGATGATGATAGTTCATAGTCCTCCCGATGAGGTACTTAGCATATCGACATCAGATCATATGGTGATGTTGTCCAAGCCATTGAAACTTCGAGATCGGTTGCTTGATATTGCTCAAAGATATACTTGATTATGATGAGGTGCCCAAGCTATTATAGACTTCTTACAATATAATGTGTGATGACTTCATCATCCGCTCAAAAAATAGATTGTGTAATGAAATTTTCTCGAGTTTTTATTTAATTTTTTGTTTCAGATTATTCTCATTACACGCTTACTCGAGAATTCAAGAAAGATGCATGCGTTAATTCAAAATAATCAAAGAGAATCGAAACATGTAGTAAGATGAAGAAGAAGCGAGAAATATTGTTTGCGTCATTTCCCCAATTATCAAAACAAGTGAGTCACAGAGGTAGAACTTTCCAAGAAGAAGTACTTATTAGGTTTCTTTTGGAGATACACGTTCTACATACTATAAGGGTTTGTTTGGAGAATGAAATTAGGAGTAGATTCGTGAATCTATAGATTTAACAAAAAGTTGTGAGTTTCACTTATTTTTTGTATCATTAACTTTTGGTTCGGGTATTTCAAATCTTAAATTTAAATATATCAAATCATTCATAAATATAAAGATTATATATATGTATATGTTGGATTATATTGTTCCATTAAATATCAACAATTATAGTTACCAAGCATCAAACTTTTTGAAAACTTTTTTTTTAACAATTGGGAGAGTTCAATCTTTTCGAATCATTTAGAATATGCAAATTTAGACTCTAATTTTTCAAACGACCTCCCAATATATGCTGAACCCTAAAACATACATAAGCATCCTCGACTAAGGGACTAATTGGGCTTAACAAGTAATCACCAAGACTAAACATGGGATGTATAATTATACAATACATAGTAGGCTCATCAGCCTCTAATGATCACGCTAACAGTCTCCTCTATATTGATGGTGATTGGTGATCTCCTCTGTATTGATGGTTGGTGATTGGTGATCTTAAAGCATCAATTCGCTAGAGAGAAACCAATAACAAGAAGGAATAAACAATTTCGTGAATAAATGGCAAGTCGGACTTCCTGGTACCATGCCTGCCTTGTCGGCTTGGTACCCATTTGGCTCCATACTTAGTCAATTTTCATATGTTTTGGTATCAAGCCTGCCTCGTCGGCTTGGTACCCTATTGCTTGCCTATCAAGTCTATTTTGCCCTGCTTGGTACCCTCAGCCTACCAAGCCTCTTTCGTTGGCTTGGCACCCTGTCTTCCCGCCTAGTTTTCATACTTAATTTTTAGATGGCTCCCTATTTGGTACCCAGCCTGGTTAGATACTGGAACACATCAATGGAGTAAAACGACATCTAAGTCTCTTCTAAACATAACTAGATGGAGCTAGTAAGTCAATATTAAAGGAGGAAATTAACGTCAACTACGAAATCAATTTTCTATATCAATCTTTTCAATAGATCAAGAACTTTGTTAGCTATTGAGCTATGATTCTATGAATTCATGAGTTATGTCCATGTCATTAAGTGTTGAGTAAGTTATTAATCATTTTAACTGAATTGAGGAAGTGTTTATTATTATTATTATTATTATTATTATTATTATTATTATTATTTCATACATCATGCAGTGCGAATATCTATTTTTCTTCCAACTCTTAGGAACGCTTAGTCTACGCTTACACGAGCTACGTGCTAGAAAAAGCCTCAACGCCTAAAGTCTTCTTAAACCTTGTTTAGTGCATATGGATTATGGACTAAGTAGTTTAACACCAACTATGACAGTTAGCCTCACACCTTGTCCATATCATACTCAACTTCCCAAACCCTCTTGGTCTTGTGGCTATTCTTTAGCTTTATAAAAGCCAATAAAAGAAAACAAAAGCTTTCCTAGTATTGCCGCGAGTTATTGGGAGGAAGGAGAATTATACTCTTAAACTCGGCCCTCAATCCAAAAGGAAAACGAAACATTACTCTTTTTTTCCTTTAACAACTCGCTTAGTGATTACGTATCGTAACAAAAATCCGATGTTGTCAAAAGCGAACTAGTGTATGACCCGATAACGTGAACGACTCGGTCATTAGCGGTCCAACCAACATTAAACCATTTAAAAACTGTTAGAAAATGATACCTAATAAACAATCAGTATAAATTGTAGACACTTTTTAATCATGGTAAACCATAACTAAATTAGTAAATTACACTCTTAACTCTTAACAATTCCAAAACATGAGTACCAAAAGGGGTGAGATGGCCGGAGTAGGGCAGTGCTCGATTCAAGCCTCTGGCGATGGCTATCAGAGGAGCAGTTGCGGGAAGAGGGGACGGGGACTGGCAATCTGCGAGCGAGGAGCGGCTATAGGGACTGGGGATGGCGACAATGGCGACGGGAAGTGACGACGGAGCGGAGGAGTTGCTATGGGAAGAGGGGATAGGGACGAAGACTGGCGATGGCAAGCTGGGAGTTGCTACGTTGACTGGGGATGGCGACGAAGCCGACAGGAAGTGTTGACGCCGGCAAGGTCTGGCGCCGCTCTTCTCCCTCTGTTCACGAAGAGTCAAAGACGAAGACTGAATTAGAGTTAGGGTTAGTTTCCCAGCCCCACGATATTTCCTTTCGTTTTCAATTATTTTTATTAAACAAAAAGGCCAAAAGGGGGAAAACATAGCGACCGGTTCGAGCGATTATCTGCCTCGGCGGCTGCTCCATAAAACCGTAGCGGCTAAATGACTGGCCCGAGCTGGATTTTCGGTCGGGTGGCGGCTTTAGCGGTCCGGCCGGCCAGCTCGGACCGGTCTTAATAACACTGCAAAAATCAATTTACTTAACCCATTTTTAAACTAGCCGAGGCCGAGCTTCTTTCAACCAGGCACATGCATGCTATGGTAACCTGATCCTGCTTGCATCCATTCAAACTCGTTTAGGTAGCCGGTAATAGAGTTCGGCCAGTGTTTTACTTCTCCTTCTCAGAGGTGTAGTCTGCAATTTTCATCCGATTTCGATCTCTTTCCTAGCCATGTTTGGCCTGAATTGCTTGTCTCCTCCTTGTGACTTGATATATTCATCAAATTACTCACAACTCAACCACAACCAAGACAATGACAAAGTCATGAGAGCCTACTCGGCGCTCCCTTCTATCAATCATAAGCGTGGCTGTCACTCACTTGACCCCCATGAGAAGGTAACATCTCATTTGCCTTGGTAATAAATTTCTCTCTTTTATTTATTTATTAATGAAGCATGATACCAATCTAATTGGCTTCACCGACCCCTACTATTATACCCCATCATACCCTTCGTGTCATGGCTAACTACTTAAGTCATGCTTTATCAATGGTGCATCATGCAATGCCTTAGGATGTGGAAGGCTTAGCATGCCGGCCATCAAGGTGGCCGGTTAACATTGAACTCGTTGACACCCCCACATCTAAAGAGGAAGGACTTAAGGTCTGAGATACTTGTCATTGATCAATCGAACATGTAGCACCTCTTCCTCTTTCAACAAGTAGGCCTCTCTAGACGGGTGGCATGAATGTTAAACGATCCATGTTGGTCACCTAGCTAGATACTCATGCCATGAAAGTGGCATGATATACAGCCAATCAAAAGATTGTAAGTACTCCATTGACCCAACCACATAGCTCACCAGTCATGACAAGGCCCTCACATCGCAAGTGTTACAACTCTGATTCAACTTGCCAGTTTGACATCCTTTTTTTAAGCCATGATTGACTTGAGATTTTCTTTTTATTCCCTCTTTTTTTCTTAGTAATATTTTTATTATTTAATTATTATAGTAAGGAGTGACAAACATCACTGATATCCATACCCTTTCGCAACCGCTAATGTGTCGAAGGTGCACTCCCACTGCCAAGTCCATGGATTAAAGCAGACCAACCATCCATACAGTACTTGTCTTTTCTCCTTTAGGGGAGATGAATCCTTTGGTGTTTGTTTCAAAATTTTCAACTTAAAAATAAAGGATACCTGATCAACTTGTCTTGACTTGGTAGGCTTGCAAGGGGTCCCCTGAGCCTATGCCTTAGCCACCTTATTAGACATGTTGGGTTGATGTTGAACCTGATGTGATTGCCTCGTCCTAAGTGTTACATCAAGCATTTTCAACTCCTAATTTGTCTTATCAAAGGGACCACTAGTTCTTATCTGCCTTGGTTTCCCCAACCAGGCTTACTCTTCCCATATAGTCGAGAAGACGAGTGGTTGGACTCAATGAGTCGATGACCACTCTTGAGGACATCTTGGCTTTGTCTATCAAATACGACTTGTTGGCTTTCACACTTTACACATAACCACTGATGGTCTTTTGTAGGACCATGTGTGGTTGGTGTGTGCCAATATGTCTTTTTTATTCCTCCTTGCCTGCCATTCATGTTAGGCATCCCATTGGGGCTGTTAAGTATGGACTTGTCTCCTTGGAAACCATTCATATTTGGCATTCCATTAGGGCTGTTAGGTATAAGACTGACCTCTTCGTCTATTCCTCAACACACTCTCATGATGGTGAACATCGTAGAGGGCTTGGGTTTGATAAACACTCCTAGACTTGCCCCCCACTCGTTTCTTCACTATCGGTGACATGCCCCTCAGTTCACTAGTTGGGGACATGCCCCTCATACCCTTGTTCATGATTGTTGACGTGACCTCCTGCCACACTTGGCTATACCATCATGCTTACTACCAACATGTAGGGCTTGGGCTTGTTATGGCTTGTTGGGAACAACTATCAACCCATTGCTAGTGGTTGATGACATGCCCTCAATGTCATTCTTAGCTACACTATAATGCTTACTACAAGCATCTGTGGCTTGGGTTTGTTGTGGTTTCTTGGGCACGTCTATCTGTCTATTGTTTGTGATTGAATACATTCCCCCTTGTCGACCATTCATGGTTGGCATGCTATGAGGGGCCTGCCTCTTTGTCCACTCTTTGACACACTGTCAAAGTTATGAAAATCATGGGTGGCATGGGTAAGCAACACGCGCTTGGACTTGTCACTCACTTCATTCTTCATGTCTGATGACATGCCACTTTGTCCTCTACATGGAGCTGATGACATGCCCCCATGCCATCCTTAGGCAACAAATATGGTATTCT